AAACCATTTTCCACTTCATAACTTTCATACAACTTCTACCTCTTCTCATTTCAGGGCTGGTCAACTTACTTGGCATAATGGCAAAATACTACATGACAAATTATTTGTGAAAATAGGGGGCAATCATGGGCAAGGCTCTATGAAATTGGAGTTTCAATTAGCCAATGTAATCAAACCCAATTCAAGCAAAAAAACTGTGGCATTTGTCATTTATGAAGGTAAGGACACAAGAAACAATCTGCAAACAGTACTCCAACAACATGCTGATTCACTGAGGGAACTAACTGCCTTGAAAATAAAGTAAGTAAACTACCTTACCAGCTAGAAACATTACATTGTCAATTTACATCATTAATCATTCCCTCAATTTATTTGTTTAGGAACAAAACTCCAGTGCTGTTTCTTTTTGGTGATTATGAATTTCTGTGTAGAGTGATGGGGATCAGTGGTGCTAGTGGTAAGTGATATTCAAATGCATCTAAACATTATAATTAATATACTTCTTAATTACATTTTACAACTTATATCCATAGGTCGCCACTCATGCCTGTGGTGTACTATCATTGCCTTAGAGATAAAGCTTCCCAGGGACGAAAGAAGTCCTACCATTCTGAGGACCCTGGAGAATCTTCATGAGCAACATCAAAAATTTCTTGATGCTGGGGGTGACATCAAAAAGGCTAAGAATTATTTTAATGTCATTCATAGAGCCATTTTTGATATCCCAATTGAACAGGTAAGTAATAGAAAACTCTTCAGCAAAATATTTTAACACTAACCACTTGCTGAGAAAATAATGTACTAAGCTTTCTTCCTAACCTTTAGATTTGCATTCCTGGCCTCCACATCAGCCTGGGACTGTTTTTGAAGTTTTTTGACATGCTAGTCGAGGAGTGTGATGAGTTGGATGCCAAGATTGCCTGGAAATTAGCTGAAACTAACAATCAGCTTGAAAGCTTGGGTGATCTAAAAGAGCACATTACACTTTTGCGACAAGCTTCAAAACACTCAAAAACAGCTGAAAATTATGATGCCCAGGCCCAGGAAATTNAAACTAACAATCAGCTTGAAAGCTTGGGTGATCTAAAAGAGCACATTACACTTTTGCGACAAGCTTCAAAACACTCAAAAACAGCTGAAAATTATGATGCCCAGGCCCAGGAAATTGAAGCCAACACAGTACACCTGCTGACTGTTGCCAGACAAGTCCTGGTTTTCAATGAAGACAACCAAAGCCCTGTCATCAACACTATGCTACAGTCTGCAAGGGAACTTAGAGAGAAAGCTGAAAATGAGGTTGGTAATGCTACAGACTACGCTTAACTAATGAATCTAACTTCTCTTTAGTGTGTTTAATTAACTTCTAATTTTCTTTTCTGATGTTGTTTCGGCATGCTCAGTCACTGGCCATCCAATCCAGTACTTCAATGCCAAAGGGATCTGGTGTGGTTAACACAGCCACTGAAAATTTTCTCCAGGAGATCAATGTTAAGCGACAAGCCTACCACAGTCAAAGCTTTGTTGGTAACCATGTAGATATCTGCCTAAAGGTCAGTTAACAAAAAAATTAAATTACTTTTCTTATTTTAAATAGTAATATACTTTTCAATACTTAACAAGTACAAGTATAAGGCTTGAAATATTTTTTGACAGGTACATAACATCAAGAGACTGTGTGAAAAAGTGGTGGACACAACAAAAGATGCAGTTCGATCGCTTGAGGATGAAGCTTCAGCCATCCAGGAGAAGTACGAAACTCTTTTGACACTTTTCTCCCAGTGCCACTCCAAGTACAACTCCAGTGAGGCAGTGGAAGATGCAGAAATAAATGTGCTAGGTACAACATCTACACTTTCGAATTACCTATCTGTTATGCATATGATTTTTTTTCTTTTTCTTTCTCTCACACATTTGTGAACTTTTTTACCTTGTCAACAGAAAGAGACATAGAGGCATTCGTCACTTTCTTTAGGAGCAACTTCCCAGATGCAACCTTTCCCCCAAAGATGCACATGCTTGAGGAACATGTCGTCCCATTCTTGAGAAGATGGCACTTTCCACTCGGATTTTTTGGTGAACAAGGAGGAGAGAGCATCCATAAAGATTTTGTTCAGCTCGCTTCAACATTTTCTCATGTTAAGCCTTCCACAATGCGTCTTAAGAAAATGTTAGAGGAGCATCATCTTGTTGTTCATCCAAAGAACAAAGAATTGATTCCTGAAAAAAGGAAGCGAAATTTGAAGAGAAATCAACAACTTCAAGAGTAAACTAACGTACATTGTTAATTTAGACTTTAGCTTAGCATTTTATATTGGTTAGAATAGGATGTCAGCGTTTCGCTCGGGTATGAATTCAAGATCACACTCAAGCGTATATTTGTCCTTTTCTTTGCCGATCTGAATAGATTTAGGAGAGCTTCAACTGAAAATACTTCTATAAATCTTTTGTAAATAGTGATTCTCAAATGTACACAATAAATGGGCTTCGCTTTGCTTCAGCGAAAATAGTGTTTCAAACCCTAAGATAGTAACGGCCGCTGAACAAGGGGTCGTAATGGCAGCGATAAGCGTTCAAAATGCCCTCAAGTCAAATTCTAATAGCGCGAAGAAATGAAATGGGACTAAGACACTTACTTGACAATAGCATCTTTCAACCACCTAACTTCTGTTCCCAACAGCCCTTTCTTTCAGGAAAACTTCTGAAAATCCACCATAAGCTCGCAAAAATTTAACTCTAAACCATAGCGTGATATCTTTGCTTTCACCAATGTGATTTTCCGACACCAGATAATTCGGTTTCAGTCCGCTAAACTAGTGTACCTTCGATGTACGCCACATATGGTTTGCCAAATGTTGCAAAATTCAACAACTTGGACCTTCATATTCAACAACTTATATTTATGTTCAACAACATATATTTATATTCAACATTTTATATTTATAT